TCCCCTCAGCCTCCTCTGCTCCAGGCTGAACCCCCCCAGCTCCCCCAGCCGCTCCCCAGCAGCCTGGGGCTCCAGACCCCTCCCCAGCTCCGCTGCCCTTCTCTGGACACGCTCCAGCCCCCCCAGGTCCTTCGGGGAGGGAGGGGCCCAACCCTGACCCCAGCACTCGAGGGGCGGCCCCCCCAGTGCCCAGCACAGGGGCACGCTCCCTGCCCTGCTCCTGCTGGCCACACCACTCCTCATCCAAGCCAGGATGCCGCTGGCCCTCTTGGCCACCTCGGCACCCTGCTGCCTCCTACCCAGCCCCCTCTCGACCAACCCCCCCAGGGCCTTTTCCGCCGGGCAGCTTTCCAGCCCCTCTGCCCCACGCCTGGAGCGCTGCCTGGGGTTGTGGTGACCCCAGGGCAGGACCCGGCCCTTGGCCTTGTTGACCCTCACCCAATTGGGCTGGGCCCATGGCTCCAGCCTGGCCAGGTCCCTCTGCAGAGCCCTCCTCCTCCCAGCAGATCCATGCTCCCACCCAATTTGGTGTCATCTGCAAACGGACTGGGGGTGCCCTCGATCCCCTCGTCCACGTAATGGATAGAGTTGTTAAACAGAACCCTGGGGGACACTGCTTGTGACCAGCCACCAACTGGATTTAACTCCATTGACCGACATTGTGTTCAGATAAAAGTATTCAAAAAATGCACTGGAGTTTTTACATGACTATGCCGCTACATAATTTTTACTTTGCTGACATACCTCTATTTCTCCAAGACATAAAGGGCCTCCTGCATCTGAAACATGGTAGAGCACAGTATTAGTTTATGCAGCTGATTTTATGCTTAATCGTCGCCACATTGAGATCATATGTGTAAGTATCTTACGGTAGCAGCGAGAGTCCATAGCATGAAATTTCCCTTCATGGTAGAAAACAACAACTTCTCTGCCATTGGCTTTGGCTGTTACTCTCCCAGACCTCTTTATGTCATCTTCTTTGCCAATTAATATCAGACCACCTGGCTCCTCTTCAGCTGTTTCTGTACTTGAGCTGCGCAAATCCACATCCTTAAAGCACAAAACAATTCGAAAAGCCACCTTATGGAACAGTTTTTGTTTTAATTTCTCCATGTAGGATGGGTGCCTCGGTCCCGGAGAAAAGCCCGGCCCATTTAACCAGCAAAGCGAAAGGAGCAGGAGGTTGAGGGAAAGACTATCGGCGTGCACACGGGGCAAAGCCCAGGAGCGTGGTGATAACGTTTGGCCAATGTCTTCGCTAAGAGAACTGGGACTAAGAGAACCAGCTGCGGCAAACCTGATGCCTGAGGCTGAGGCAAGATAAATTATAAATCTCTATTCATTTACTCCGCATTTCAATCACCACCTCCCTGCGAAAGCCACGTGCGAAAAAATACAAGGATGCTACATGTAAAACACGGTACTGTTCAGCTATGCAATGGGTGAACAGTGGCATCTACCTGTGAACCCAATACTCTTTAAATAATGTTATGGCTAGAAATGCAAACTGAAGTCGGTTGATAAGAAACTGAAAATATCATCTGCAAAAGGGAAAAAAACCACATTTATTGTGGAGCTGCCCTCAACCTGGGCTGTTTAGCACACGTGTCGGCCTTCGCCCTCCTCTTACCTACTCCAAATGCCCAATAGCCCCTTGCTCTCCCAGCCGAGGACGTACGTACTTCTGTCACTAACCTGCCTTCCTATTAAGGTTGCCTGCAATTAGCTACTGTCTTCCAGTTCCCTCTGAATGCCCATGCAACCATACTGCCCTCACTTCCCCTGAAAAAACAGGCTAAAAAAGGACTTTGTATGCACCGAGACCCAAGGGGCATGGCGGGGGGGTGCAGAGCCATGAAGAGCCGCGTGGCAGCAAGCCACACCATACCTCACGTCCATGCCAGATCGCAATGAAGATGAGAAAGCAGATGAAGAAGTGGAGGCTCAGAATAACAAGGTCCAGCATCGCCTCCCTCCGCTGCGCCCGTTGTGGCTGTCCTGCCTTCTTCACGTACGTGTGGCGCATGCCGCGGCCCCTCACTATGTGCAAGCAGGAGGCAGTGGGACCGGCCCCTATAGCACCGTAGGCAGGATGTATGGAGGCTCGGTGTGGCAGGAGCCAGCTCTGCCAGGACTGATAAGGAGTGGGGATGCGCTGGGGTGGCCTGATAACAGAAGAAGGGAGCTGCAGGCTCCTCCCGCCGCTGTCCTCCCCATGAGCCCGTGCCACCACCGCCTCCGCCAAGTGGGACACGCCGAGCCAAAACCCTGCTCAGAGCCACGCGTGACACAACGCATTTATTTGGGATCAGCCACTGCGTGTTTCCTAACAAACTGTTACACCGGGAAGACTGGTGTTAATGACAGCGTGACGTTCTCAAGGCCAGCTGTGACCTGATGTGCACAGGATCAACTGTACGGGCCAACGCTGTGCCTTCCAGCTCACGAGGAACCTCCACCCAGCCTTACCCAGAAAGTGGAAGGTCACTGCCAGACTCATAGGGCCACCCAGTGAGGCATCCTAAAGAAAATAAGCACAGCATGTGGGAAACCCACCACAAGAACCAGAGTGGGAAATCCCCAGTTTTTACTGTCACCTTTTGGCTGACTCTGGGTATAAACTTCCCAAATTGGCCACAATCTTGACATGCAGAAGCCTGTAGTTAGAAACACTCTTATGGGAGACATGTCTATACATATGCTTATAGACAGACAGACACACGTACGCATCGACGCACACCAAGGCACACCCCCCCCTACGCTGCCCAGACCAGTGTTAAAACAACGCTGGGCACCAAACCTCCAACCCATTTAATGGTGACATTTCTACAGTCAGCCTGGATTTCGTATACACAAATTATCCAGCGGGTGGTGGACCCTACCCAGCCCAGCTGGCGTCAGCCATCAACAGCCAACGGCTTCATTGTACAGCCAACGACTTCCACCCTTATCTACAACCAACTGCAGATGGCAAACTGCCTTGGCACATTGGAGGTTCTCCAGAAGACAGACCTCAAGGCAACACATGCTTTTTAATATGCTAATGAGTTTGTTAAATGCACAGTTGCAAAAACTTTGTTCCCTTAGAAAAAGGGGGCAGGCAAGGACTCCTCGTCATGGAAGACCCATAGCTAGACCCTCTTGCTGCAGGCCTACGGTTGGCTGCTTTCTCATCCACGAAGTGCACGTGCACCTCCCAAGTACAAACAGAAAACAAGAGACTTCAACCTAGAGCAGCCCAGGAAGCACCGAATGCCCCAAAGGAGGCCGTGGTTTCTGGCTGAGAGTTCTTCCATGAGGCTGGGACAGGACCCAGCGTAAGGGAAGGGCAACAGACCCCCAAGGTGGTTTTCACCCAGCGTGACCCCCTCCTCATCCAAGGGCCCATGTAACCCCCGATGTGTCCCACGACACAACCCAGATGCCAGAGGGGCACCTACAACGTAGGGAAAATCACTTACACACACTTTAAGCTGTCCTGATTGTGACAGGACAAGATGTAATGGCTTTAAACTAAACCAGGGTAGGTTTAGACTGGACCTAAGGAAGAAATTCTTTCCAGTGAGGGTGGTGAAACCCTGGCAGGGGTTGCCCAGAGAGGGGGTGGAGGCCCCATGCCTGGGAACATTCCAGGCCAGGTTGGCCGGGGCTGTGAGCAACCTGATGTGGTTCAAGGTGTCCCTGCTCCTGCAGGGGGGTTGGGCTGGGTGACCTCTGGGGGTCCCTTCCAACACAAAACATTCTGTGATTCTATGAAAAGGGTTCCAGAGAGGGGAAGGAGCAAAGACTGAGCAGCAGCTTGGAAGAGAAGCAGAGGGTGGGTTACAGCCTTGCTGGGGATGGGGAGAACGCGTCCGCTTGATATTCCCATGTCAACGCGGGGTGAAGAACAGGGTCTATAATCATGAGCTTCAAGTTATGGCACATCTCCTGACTTCAGGTGCAGCCGTATCTCAAAAAATGAAGTGGGGGTCACTGTCAGGGCTGGGGGGCCCCGGTCCCTCAAGAGCTCCTGCCCCGGCAGGGTCCGGGCCGGGGCCATGCGGGGCAGAGCGCCTGTGGTCTTTTGCCTGGGCGCTGGCTGGGTGTGGGGGATACATTTGGGTTTTGGGGCTTTTTTCCCCATTTTTATGGTGTGTTTTCCGGTCAAACGCACTTATGGAAGAGGGCAAAGTCAGCGGGGTGGCTGTTGCTACGCAAACGGCCCGAAGGTGAGCGTGGTTCCCATTCGGAGCCAGACCAGTTTGTCATCCATTAGAAAACCCAATGACTATTTTGGTGGTGCTTTGTGGATTTCATCATACCTCAGTCAGAAATAAAACCGGTCAGTCCAAGAAATTGCTCTTTTTTTGTTGTTGTTGTCATTGTCATCACTGCTGTTGTTTGCATCGGCTAGCGGGGTATGGAGGTGACCAATTCATTTCAGGCGGGCTGGTGTCGTGCTGCAGTGGTGTCCTGGTTTCAGCTGGGATAGAGTTAATTTTCTTCATAGTAGCTAG